GGCGGCGATCCTGTTCCTCTCGAGCAGCTTGTCCTTCTTGCCGTCCTTCTTCTCTGCGGTCTTGGCACTGGTTTCCACTTTCCTGGATTTCCGTTTTCTAGGCGCTGGCGCTTCTGGTGGAGGCGTGGAAGCAGCACTGGTGGATTTGGACTTCCTAGAGGAAGCATCACTGATCGTCATCGGCCGGCTCTCCTGCGTTGTCGTCGAATCGTTTGACGAGTTCTGGACCAGCTTGGGCGGGACGACTTTGGTTGCTGGGGCGATTCGATCGCTCCGGCGCGTTGATACCGACGCCGCAGCGGTCTGCACGTTGTCTGCCGAATCTTGGCCAGCGGGTATGACGATGGTGTCGGCAAGGTTTGATGGTTGAGCTGGCAGAGATGGAGCGAGCAGCATCGGGTCCACAGCTAACTTGGGGCTGTTGGTATACGACGACAGGTCAAGCTGCTGATGGCTGAAGATATCCGGGTACGAACCATCTCCGTCCATATCAGCGACCGCGTCGCTGAAAAAGTGAGGGGTGTCCATGGCGCGATCTTCTTGAAAAAGGCCGCCAGGGGCCAGTGTGGTCTTGTAGCAAACGGTCGCAGACATGAATGGTGGGATCTTTCAAGGGCCGGCAAGGTCCTCGAGCAATGCCGGGAAGAGGAACTACAAGGCCTTGTCGAGGCGGGACGGTTTCAATTGGCCAGCAGGGCTGATGCGGGTGAGAAGCTCCCTGGCATATGCTTCCAGGGGGTCGAGAGATGGGCGATGGCTCCAGGGATCTGCAAGGTGGGAAGGGGCGTGTTCGTGGACGACAGCCTCTTGAAAGCGTGCGAACAGGTGCTCCGGTACTGACACTGCTTCGTAGATACTTCACGACATAAACCGGCAGCCGGATCCAAAGGGTGGCGAATGTAAACTCAGAGCTCGGCTCGGCTCGGCCGGACTGTTGATGGTTATGCTCTGCCAGGCGGTTGCGGTCTGGTGTAGATAATACGGAGGAGAGCCAAGGAGATCCGAGAAGGAAAGTCGATGGATGAGCTTCCGAGATGCTCGAGTGATGGCCAGCCGACCGACAGACAATGCTTCGAATCAAAGGAAGTGGCGAATGGATCAGGCTTGGCCAAGAAGGATGCCGGGCGCAATCCACCAAGAGGTGGTATGTTTGCTCGTACAGGGCGGGGAAAGCTCGAGCTATTGGGAGCTTCAGAAGAGGGGAGCTCAAGACAAGGTTGAGCTAGGGAGGGAGGAGGGAGCTTCTATCAGAGCAGCTCAAAGGGAAGTGGGGCGTGCGAGGTGCGCAGCTGGAGGGCGCGTCGACGAGGGTGTGCGCCGAACGATGGGAAAGAATTCCAAGACGGCAGGCAGAGGAGTCTTGTCTGTATCTTGGGGGTGGGTGTTGTCTCTTGCGCGGCGACGGAAAACGCGTGGCTGTCAGGATTGAAGCCAGTGAGTTTTGCTTCTGCGGTCTGTCTGGGGAAGAAGACAATTAATGGTAGGGTTGCTTGTTGTATGAATCGAGAAGGCTTTTTGGGCCGGCGGCGCAGAAAAGACAGCAGCAGATGGTGCGGGATCTGTGTCAAAGGACCACGGAGTAATGGAACGCACTTGGATGACTTTTATGTCAAGTCGTGTGTTTCGACGACCTTGGACAGACTGCTGGCAGGTGAAGGTGGGTTTGATGCTGGGTGGAGGTCACTTGAAGATGGGTCGCAGGTGAGGTAGGTACTTCCACGGAAAGATTCCTCCCCATATTTTGGACATGGCCGACTGGATTACCACATTACCTGGCAGGTAAGCAAGGTCCAAGTAAATATGATGGCAGCATTACTTTGTACCTTACTCCGTGCTTTACTTTGAAATGTCTGGGAAGGAACCCCGAAGTATCCCCTCCTCGCGCGGCTGGTGGCGCAAGGGAGATGGGGATGGCCTAAACAGGCACGGCGCATGTCAGTACCTTCAGCAACCAAGCACAGTAGTAGTTAGACATAGACAATGTACAAGTAGCTATCCTGCGAGGCATCTCCGAACGCGACAGTCAAACTTGAAATTCTATCTACTTGTACTGTAGGTGAGTTGCCAAACATGCGGAGCCAATGCAGGTGGGCCCTCTGGGTCATGATGGGCTTGTGACGTTAGAAGTCCAAGCGATTGCCAGGGGAATTCCCAACGACGCACGACTCTTGCTGGGCGGGCTGCTGGGCGATCCAAGAGGCGAAAAGACGATTGAGCCAACAGCAGAGCGAGGAGCGCCGCGCCCGCGAGGTTCCAGGCCTGGACGTTATTTGATGTGCAGGGCTGACCACCGTTGCTTGCCGAACGACTCTCTGCTCTCCACCTACAGGTACCTTACTATGTACTACTTGTAGTACCTAGTAAGTAGGCTCGTAGGGTGCGACACAACAGCCGGTAGATACATTCCTATTGTCCTACTGACCACGTCGCCTACCAGCATCCGATCCGCCTCTAGATCCATTCTGGCTGCCTGCATTCGTCCTCACAAAGGAGGGCGGGCGTGCGTAATGGGGAGGCGATAAATGTCGGGTACCTACCTCTAGTGGCTGGACGGAACTGTGCTGTTGTTGTTTTCCCAAGGTTAGGTGCTCCGCGAGAGAAGGGAATGGATGGGCCAAGGATGCATTCTGCTATGCTAAGAGGAGCCACTAGCCGAACTCACTCAATCACGGGACTCTTTTGCGTTGATTGAGCAGAGAGGATGGGTAAGCCAATCTCGATGGCCGCAAATTGGCTTTCCCAGAGCTGGCCGTGCCTTTCAGTTGTCGACAAAGTTCCCAGGTTGCCCAAATGTACGGGAGGGAACACTTGGAAGTTTGTTATTTTAGCGGGGAATGAGGGCCACTCGGCAGGCGGAGGGTGTTCCCTCCCAGCTGTGATTGGCACCCAGCCCCCAGTGGGGCGTGCACTTGCAGTGGGGACTAGGCCCTGCCGGGCAAGGCATGCCTTGGACAGAAACGCTATTTGGCCACCATCTCGGTCAGTCTGGTCCAAGCTTGCGAGCTGCGAGACAGGCTCGCGAGAGATATCAGCTGAGCTTGAAGCTTGGGAGAGATAGAGTGAGAAAGAAAGACAGATAGATAGAACTTTCTAAACTGTCAGTCCATAGCCAGCCAGCCACCCTTGCCACCCATAGAACAGTTAGATGCCAGGCCGTTCTGTTCGACAATGTCGGAGGGAACGGTCAAATCTGTTTGTCGATGCGATCAGAAACCATCCAAAACAACAATCAAAACAGCAGCGAAGAAGCAGCTCCGCGAGGTCGAGGCGGAGCTTTTGCTCCAGCCTGAGCCACGAACTGACTGAGGCACCAGCCAGGCCAGTAAGCTCTTAGCGCCTTACCTGCCGGACACGCTAAAACCCCCACTTTTGGCTGAGGTACAAGGGGCAAAGAGGCACCCGTGGACCTTCACTATCAGACTATCCAAGGTCCCGGGGCCACTCACCACACACCATACCCCGGCGTTGTGCCCGTCGCGTCTCACTGGAGACTGGCAAAAGAGTTGCATCCATTGCCATCCTGCACCCGCGAAACAACAGTGATCGGCGACAAGCATCTCCCTGTTCTTGCTCTTCGCAGTGCGGCAGCCAATCTCCACGACAGGATGAGACATCCGAGAAAAACCTATCTTTGATGACTGGACTCGTCAATGTCGTCATAACGCTTGAGCTGGCTGTTGTCCGATACATGCCCGGCAATGACGGACGGATTCAAGTAGATCTGAGACTTTGCCTGTCTACTTCCTATCCCTATCTGCTAAGACCATCCAATTGAAGTGAAAATACCCCGTTGCGCCTGGCCTTCTCGTCGGCATAGTTACCGTTCTTCCTCATTGGCCGGACCACAGTGGCATTACGACATGCCCTCTCCGAGGCCCGCATCAAGAAAAGGGTCTACAAGTACAATTCGAGTCCGGCAATGCGATTATTCCCGTCCTGAGCTTGACTATCGAATGGCCATCAGTACAGTCGCTCAACCTCGACAGGCTTACCGGCGCGAGGCCCGCACTGCTTGCCCGTTACTAGCCGTTGATTAGTGCACCGCCTCCCCGAAGCTGCGTTGTTCAACCCTTGCCAGCTCTTCTATTTGACTTCACGCTCCAAAAGCATGTGCCTTGCCTCTGTTGTTCTAGGCCAGCCCCCGCGCTTACACTGAAGAACGTAATCCTCCCTCATCCGCACCATGGGCGGAAAGCCTCCTGAATTGTCTGAGTATGGAGGGGCGCAACCATGCCGAAATCACATGGCTGTATCGGTGGCAAGCACGAGGTATTGTGATTAGCCCAGGCTGGGAGTACCTTCAAACATGCTCTTGATGCCCTATTTACTTGCTGAACTAGAGATGCTTGCCTAAGGTAGCTCCGTATTATCAACCTGACCTCCGAACCTCGAATGCGCTGCATAGACGCCGCCAAGTTCATCCAATGCCGCTTTATATATTGACTAATCCTTCAAGCTTTGAAATCGGAGTTGAGGATCTTGCCTGATAACACAAAACTCTGCGAGGACTCTCACGCCTTTATATCTGGGTTCAACATCGTTCCCCTGTGCAGTTCCACCGTGACAGCCTGTTCCGAGCTGGGTAGCTTTCGGACTGTCCTGGGGAATTACTGGTTTCAATAGACTATCCGTAACAACTTTGAAAGCACACGGCGGCAGCTTTTGCCCGAATATACACAGCCATGTATAACTTGTATCCAGCACTTGCTGTTGAGCAATTCTATAGCGAAAGCCGGCAGGCGCACTCACTTACACCCCGATGTTGGCGTCTTTGAACCCCATGCTGACCCATCCCCACATTAAAAGAATCCTTATCGCGAAACCAATTAAAGCCCCGCGACGCGCTGATACGCTCCGAATCGCGTCTCCCTCACTTCCAAGCCCATCAAGTCACATCATCATCGTCGTCCTCGTCACCGAATCGCCATTGCCTTGTTCGATCCGCTCGCCTCGAAGAAGTATTTCCCACCACAAGTAAACAAAACACACTCTCCACCATCATGGACCAGGTCACCCCGCGGATCACCAGCCGCTACCTCGACTCCTTCGTGGGCCAGGTCGTCATGATCGTCGGCAAGGTCGCGCAGCTGCGCGGCGACACGGCCGTCGTCGACTCGGACGGCAACATCACGGCCCAGCTCAACCGGGTATGTTTCGGACGGCGGTTTCCTCGTTTCACCTCTCTCTCTCTCTCTCTCCCCGCTCTCTTTTACTCCTTTGCAGAAACAAGACAAAGACAAAGACAAGACACACCTTGCTTACCTAGTATTTGACTGACGTCCTTGCTCCCAGGAATCCCACCTCACCACCGGCAACGCCGTGCAGCTCATCGGCAAGGTCAACCCGGACCTCTCGGTCAAGGTGATGGACTCGCTCGACCTCGGGTCCGGAGCCGCCGTCGGTAAGTTTGAAATATTATATATGCCCCCTTGTCTTCACACACACAGCCCCCCCCCCCCCCACCTTGTCGGGTAGTGTAGTGTGTAGCCTGCTGCGCAGAATGGCGACAAAGAGTTTTGGAGAACTGACCTTTTCGATTTCGATCGGCGGCGGGCGCAGATATGGGCGTCTACCAGGCCCTCGTGGAGGCTTCGCACCGCGTGAGGGAGATCCACTTCTAGACCAGACCACATCCATACATACATACGTACATACGTATCCCGATCGAAGCCAGCTTAAAAAGTCGCTTATCAAAAACGCCGCCTTGTTTAAACAACAACAAAAAGGGGGCACGTTATCGCCATTTCACTACTGTATCGAGAAGCGCGGTGGAGAAAGTCTCAAGGGACATTTGCCCGTCTGAGCATCTGGGCCGGGCACGTTGTCGTGGATGTTCTGCTTGTGGCCTGCTAGACACCGGGGCCGACCGTGGCCGATAGAGGGAACAGGGACGGCGTTTGGCGTCCGGATGATGAAATGTCAGGCTGGCTACGGACGGATCGGCAAGGGAAAGGCTGTAATTTGGTAGTAGCCATTGTGGGCAAGAGACCTATCAACCCGAAGCTATCTATCCAGGGTACCTAGGGTAGCCCAGGTAGTGTTCAATTCCAAGAGCCAATCCAATAACATAACCATGTAATGAAGCATTTTCCTGCTCTGGACATGTTCCTCAGACAGCTTACCAGGGTTGTCAACTGTGTGGAAAGGACGGCTGTCCTCCCACAAATCACAAATCAGCATCTGCGTCACACTCCTCCGAAAGTCTGGGTCTGGTTCAACCGCCGGGCCAGGCGAATCTCTTCGTATTACAGCGACGAATAATATTCTCATGTCTATTGAGTTGTCTGGGCTTTTTTTTTTTTTGCACCAAACAACCTGCACAGAATAGACAGGTATCTAAGCTAACTGTAAGTGCGAACAACGCAGAAATCCCTTCATGGCCCGGCCTGTCATATGTTCCCCAATGACCTCCTCGGAGTGTGTGTAATGCAGGAATCAACACACTCCAATGGTATCTATGCACACACTCAGTCGCAAACAAAACCACCATGATCATGACCAAACATGTACCATCATAATCCGAGACAAATAGCCTCTTCTGCACAGGCTCTTACTTCTTTGCTCTTCCAAATCTCAAAACAACGCCATAATGCACGCTCTTTTCCCTCTCCTCGCTCAAACAAAAGCAGCAAACAATCCACCCCGGGACCGACGCTTTCGCTCACAGTGAAAATGCATTCGAGGACATAAAACCAAACAACAACAACAACAGCAGCAACAACAGCAGGAACATCCCTCTCTCCATTCTACATCTGCCCATGGATCGCCCCCACATCCGTCTGCAGATCGATATGCGCCCACAGATGCGAACCGTCATCGCCCAGGCCGTCCGCACTAAACGACACGTGCTGGTGGTGGTGGTGGTGGTGCAGACGGCCACCGCCGCTGCCGCCGCCGGGCGACGAGCTCGGCATGACCATGTCGGTGCTCAGGTACTGCCCAAAGTCCATCGCCGCCACGCCGGCGCCGCCCATCGCGGCGGCGGCGTCGCTGTCCAGGTTCGGCAGGCTCGCGAGGTCAAAGTCGATGAGGCCGTGCGCCGAGGAGCCCTCGGTGAAGTCGTTGGCCTCGGAGACGAGCAGGTCGATGGTCGCCGTGAAGGGCGAGTCGAGGCAGCTGGGCGCGAAGTGGGCGTGCAGGCCCTGCAGGTGCTGGTGGCGGCCCGGGGTCCGGCGGCTCTTGGACGACGCGCTGCCTGCCCCCATCATCATGCCGCCGCCGCCAGAGCCCGAGGTACCAGACCGCGGCGTCTTGGACGGCGTCCTCTGCAGCTGGAGCAGGGCCTGGCTCGGCGACTTGGGGATGGAGCGGACGGACCGGATCGACTTGGAGATGCTACGCGTGATCGGGCGGTGCGAGGGCGTGGCCCGCGTCGGCGTCTTGAACGCGTTGGGGTTCGAGCTTCCCGACTTGGGTGGCGGCGTGGAGGGGCGGGCAGTGGGCGGTGTCCCAAACAGATCGGCCATGTCGTCGTTAACAACTCGCATGCCGGGCGTGACGGGCACCGGTGGGAGCTCCTCTCCCACGTTCTCCTTGCCCACAGGCTGCTGCTGCTTGGCGGCTCTGTTGGTAGGGGAGTTCTTGGCCGTGTTGACCGAAACATCGCTCAGAACTTTTGGCTCGCCGTCTTTTCTCGGGGAGGGGAAGAGCAGCCTCCGCGTGCCGCCGAGATCGTCCTCTATGGCGATCGGGCTGTCGGCGGTGCCGCTCCCCCTTGAGTGGGTAGATCCCGGCCCGTTCCGGTTCGGGGATCCCCGGGGTTCAGGTGCCTGGTTAGACCCTGATGGAAAAGACTGGCTGGCTGAGTCGTTGTTGCTGTTGCCGGAATCACCTCCCGCCATGCCGTTGCCGGCAGCAGCTTCAAGGTCGAAAGGCGAAGGCACCGCGTCGGCCGGCCCGATTGGGTCCGTGGTGAAATAAGCCTCAGACGTCAACTGCAGCTGCGGGTCGCTCTTGGTGCGCGACTTCTTGGACCGTGAGTTGCCAGCGCCGCTCTTGGGCTCGCGCTTTCGTCGCGGCTGGTTGAGCCTCGATGAATCCTTTTCCCATCGGTCCTTGGGACGATGGCTCTTGAACTTCCCCAGCCAGATACCACAGGCTAGAAGGGGGGTCAGAATGATGGCTAGGGGATGGACATTGATTCAAACTCACGATTGCACAGGAGCATTTCAGTCCACTTGCTCTTGTCCTCCATGGGGCCAAGGGTCTTCTTGACTAGCCGGTACCGCTGGGGCCTGCCATCCGCATCCCGGTCCAGGATATCGATAGCCGTCACAAAACCAGGTTTTTCAGAGTACTCGTAGTAACCGGGCACTCCCTCGTGATCCTGAGTCCACATCTTGCGCCATGTCGGGGTCTCGATCGCGCCGCAGTTCATACAGTATGGAGGCATCTCGCCGCTCTCTATGGCCTTCTCCAGACGCTCCTTGATCGTGTTCTTCTTCACGAGGTTCTTGTTCATCCGCGCAGTGGGCTGGTCGATGTCGCTGGGCGGGCACGGAGCTTCGGAAAAGGACGTGGGCAGCGGGGGAGGCGGCAGTGTCAGCGCGTGGACGACCGGGGGATCGCTGGCTGGCACGGCGCTCGTTGACGCTGCTCTAGCAAGCTGGCGTGGTAGCGGCTGTAGTTGAGGTTCTGGTTGAGGGGCAGGGAGTTGTTCGACTTCCTCAATGTCTGCTGGGGCATCCTCGATCTTAACGGGAGGCTGGTCCACAACCTGTGGGGTCTGGGACTCCCTACGGGTTGGCATTTCTCGAGACTCCTGGGCCATGGCCAATAGCCTCAGGTTCTCGACATCTGCCTGTGTAGGGTCTTCTTGAGTTTGTTGTTGGGTTGGCATTTGAGGCGCCCCTTGGGGTGCCATAGTTGGCGCGGGTGCTGAATGCATCTCGTTGCTTTCAGGTCTCGGGGTGGGCTCGGTCTGAGAGCGTTGAAGTTGGGGCGGTGCAGGCGGAGGCTGGCCAACTTTAGTGGACCTGGCGTTCAGACTCTTTTGGTTTGGGGGGTTATAGATGCTCGTAGCAGGGAGAAGTTCCGGCGGGCCTGGATTCTCCATCTGAAAGTTGAAGCTGTCGCTTTGCGGCGCGTTGTTCTTCTTCCGGCCGCCCTTGGTCGCACGACGGGGCTGAGCCGGGGCCTCGTCCTGGACGGGTTGTTGAGGTAGTGTTTGCGGGAGGTCCTCATCATCGAACATTACATCGTCAATGCCCCCGCTCATGAAGCCAGAGTCAGGCTGGTGTCTGGGCATGGGCGGCAGGATCGGACTCGAGGGCGGCGGGCTGGACCGCAGGTATGGCGTCGTCCGGGGAACAGGCGGTGATGATCCGAGATCGGCAGGACTGTCCTCTGGCGTGTAGATACCTGGAGAGTTTCCGAATGACTCGGTTGGGGAACGGGCATCGTGGCCGTGCATATGCATATCGGAATACGTATTCGCGTACATTAGCTGGCCATCAAAGCTAGCCACCGACCCCTGTCTTGATCCCTGAGGGATAGGTCGCTTCCGCTGCTGACCAAAAGGATGACCCTGCGGGACGGGAGTTGGTACCCGGGGTGCTTCTTGCAGGTGGCTGGCGCCAGGTCCTTCGCCTCCAGCCGCGACCGGCCGCATCGTGCGTAGAGACCCCGAAATACTAGCAGCGACCCTGAGGGAGTCGGGGACCGAGTCCAGCGGGTTCCTCACCGGATAGTCTGCCTTGGTGGTCTTGGCCCGCTTCTTCTTGGGCCCTTCGTCGGCATCGGTCGGTTGCTCCTCCGCAGCTGAAGTGTTTCCATCGCCAAGCGGCTTCTTGCGTGGCCGGCCCCTAGGTCGTCCGGTGGGAGCTTTTGATCTAGATGCTCTTGATGATGGCCGCGACGCTTTAGCGGGTTCCTTGTGCATCTCGACTGGTGTTGACGTTGGCGCCGAGGCAGGCTCCTCACTGGGGCCCATTTGCATAGGCGCAGGAGCCGTGGGTGGCCGCTGGGGTGGTGCCGGGGCTGCAGACGAAGGCCTGGACATGGGCCTGGACATAGGCCTGGAGTCCATGGACATGTTCATGTTCATGTTCGTAGGCATCTCGGCTCGGTACGGACCCAGATTGGGAGAAGGTACCGAAGCGACGTTGGCGGAGCGGCCAAGAGCCGGGTTCGACTGGATGAATGAGTTCCACTCGGTGGTGTCGGTCGGCGTCGGTGCATTTTTCATGGGTGCCTGTTGCATGTCGCTCATGCTGTTGTTTTGAGGCTCGGCGCGTTGCATTACCCTCGGCACGGCGGTAAGCTTGAGCTTCACCTCTAGCGTCTCCCTGATGCCGTTCCCGAAGATGGCCAGCAGATTCTTGGTGACGCGACCCGTGACCCATTTCGGCTCGTCCGCCGCACCCGCCATCTCCAAGGCCCATGACAGCATGCCCTGTCCGACCAGCGGCATGTCGGGCTCCGAGTAGTCGTAGGCATAGACGGTGTAGTCGGTGTCGGGCTGGCCGACAATCTCAGGGCTGCATTGGGCGAGGGCCTGGAGGCACAACTTGAGGTCGACGACGCCGATCCAATTCCTCTCGTCGAGAGGAATGGCTTGGATCTGTAATATTTGTGGCCAACGAGCCAGGCAGTTCACCTGGCTGTCTCTGTCGAAGGTATAGTGAACCTTGACTGCGAAGGAGAGAGAAACATGTCCTAGGTCAGCAAACAGCCAAGATCGAGGGCAAGGTGATCGAGGTGGGCCAGGCGGTACTCACGTCCCATGGGCCTGACCTGGAGCCCATACTCGTCCGAGTCGTTGGCAGGCGGTGCCGAGTGCGAATGGCCGCCTGCCCATTGCTGGTTGTGGGAACCCATCGTGAGAGGCGAAGCCATGGCGCACTCGGGGGGATCGGAGAGCGTGTCGCACGGCGTGAGCTGTCGTCTCGGCGGGAGATGAGGAGGAAGAGAAAAAGAGAAAGCGGTGATCAAGGGCCGAAATAATAATTGTTAGAGGGGAGAAGACATCAGGCAAGTACAAGCAAGGAATTGGAGATCAAGGTAGTCCCGGGCCACAATTGAACCTTGCCAGTGTTTTGGCGGCGGCAGTCAATTAGAGAGGCTGGTGGGCTGGCTCGTGTGTGTGATACAGCGCGTTTTGGTCGCGTCGGTGGAGCTCCCGACGATGCGAGAAACGGGCGGCGCCTCGACCGTCGACCTCAACAGCCGGTTCCGCTTCTTTTCTCTGCAGACACTTTAAGAAAAACCGGGCCCGGTTTGCCCAATTGATTCAAGGCAAAGTCGAGAAATGAGCCGCTAGAAAAGAGGAAGGGAAAAAAAAACGATATGATAAAGGTACAATATGGAGTGCAAATGGCCTTCTCTGTTGTTGAAGACTTATGGTTCCGTCTGTGGTGTGTGTGTGTGTGTGTGTCTCGGTATCTGCGTCGCGGGCGGGAACGCGTGCAGAAAAAGGGCCGGCACGACGACGTCAGTTCAGGCTCGAGGGGGCCCGGACGGGATCGTTAGCTGGCGTTTTGGCGTTGCAACAGCGGGCGGGTACAGGCATCCAGGGCACCTGACGCGCCTAGAACGACACGTGCACGGGCCAGGGCCAAACACTCCTGGCCTGAAGCCGACCTCGAGTACAAGTACTGAGGGCTAGTGGGTAGCTCGGCTGTTACTGGCTGGGCTCGAGCTTCTCAGTCAGCTCTCTGCAACAGCAAAAAAAGAGAAGCTCCCCACCCAACCAACCACATCGAGGCCTCACCCTCCAGACCACCACAATGACTGCACGCTGCCCACCAGAATGCCGTGCGCCTTCTTTGCTCTTGTTGGTTCTTCTTCTCCTTCTCCGCCGCTTTTCCCACACACCGATCCGGCTTTAGCGTTTGGACGTTTGGACAACTCCGGAGCCCGCCGCGGGAAGCTCTCGAGGCAGCAACTGCTCCTGGTTTCGACTCGACAGAATTGCTGAGAGATCCTGGGAAAGGTTTCCAGTCGACCTTTGCCCGGGAGAGGAGATGGGGCCTGCCCCCTTTTATATGTTGTCCGAGAGATGATGCCTCGATCCTCGCCGTCTCTCTCTCTCTCCAGAGTCTCTCTCTTCCCACTCTGTTCCCCCACCCACACACCCATCTACCTACTTCTACCTATCCATCCATCGTTCCATCGTTCCATCATCTCCCATCTCCCGGCCACCCAAGATCCATGCCCTGCTTGTCGTGCTTATTGCCCCTCTTCTTGCTCCGAATCCATCCCATCCCATCCCATCCCATCTCCCAACTATCTCCATGACTCAACCAGGCATCTACGCCCGCTAGTAAGCCCGGCAAAAATGACTGCCCACCACACATAAAATTGAAGCATTCCATTTCCCTTCTAAGCCCTTTTCAGATCTCGCTCACAACACACCGTACGCCATCCCGTATTTGGTCCACCAGAGAGCCTCCCCGCCAATCACATAACACCATTTCTCCCATCCCCGTCCCAAACCAGTCGAATGTGAACAATGCTCATGACGCTATTCCGAACTGACTTTTACCTTGCCCAAAATGACCCCGCGATAGCACATTTCGTGCACGCATGATTTTCGGTTCCCAAAATGTCTCGGGGCCCAAACACAACCAGAACGACAGCACAATACAAGTAGAAGTATCTTTTCCTTGCGTGATAAGAAAAATATATGACGATATAATACAATAAAGTCTATTGACAGTATCCCTCTCTGACAAAGCGATTGCATTTTAATCCTCGCGAATCCAGACAGCCTTGCCTTGCTCGTTCTTGGTCGTCTTCCTCGCCACAATCTCCTCCACCACCTCCTTGACGCCCTGCTTGCCCCGCGTCTTGCCCACCAGCTGGTTGACCACCTCGCGCTGCGACTTGGTGCCCTCCACCACCAGCTCCTCCACCTCGCGCTCCGTGGGCAGGCCGAACTCCCTGAAGGGGTACTCGGCGTAGTCGCGGTCGTTGAGCAGCTCGATCGCGCCCCCGTCGTCGTCCTTGGGCTTGGCGAAGAAGGGCTCCGTCACCTTGTCGTCGGGCCCGATGTCCTCGAGCGTCTGCGGCTTCCACTCGGGCTTGGTCGACGGCTTGTTGATCAGCAGCGCCGAGACGCCCTCGGTAAAGTCCGGGTGCTGCATGAACTTGGAGGCGATCTGGTGCTCGCGCCTGAACGTCTCGGCGATGGTCCACTTGCCGCCGATGCGCATCTGCCGCAGGCTCACGTGCACCGCCGTGGGCGACCGCTGGTGCAGCGTCTGCAGCGTCTTCTCGGCCCACTGCTTGGTGGCGCCCTCCTCGGCCTTGAGCGCCGCGATGATGTCGGCCACGCTGTCCTTGCTGAAGCACCTGTCGATCGCCTTGCGCAGCTCGCCGCCCAGCAGGATGGGCTGGTCGTGCGGCAGCCCCGTGCAGTACTCCTCGATGGTGCTGCCGATGACGGCCAGCCTCTTCTGCAGGCTGTCAAAGTCCTTGAAGCGGAGCTCCGCCAGCCGGGACTCGAGGGCGGGCAGGCTGGAGGAATGGAGGTAGTGGGTGGCGACACCCGAGTAGAAGACGTTGGCGCCCTTGAGCCTCTCGCTGGTCAGGGCGAGGTAGGTCCCCACGGCGCCCGACATCCTGGGCAGGAAGAAGGACGCGCCGACGTCGGGGAAGAAGCCGATGGTCGTCTCGGGCATGGCAAACACGGTCCGCTCGGTCGCGATGCGGAAGGGGGCGTGGATGCTGAGGCCGACGCCGCCGCCCATCGTGATGCCGTCCATGAAGGAGATGTACGGCTTCTGGTACGTCGCGATCAGGTGGTCGAGCTTGTACTCCAGCGCAAAGTAGTCGGCCGACGCCTGCTGGCCCTCGGGCCCTTGCTTGTTGGACTGCGCCAGGGCGGTCACGTCGCCGCCGGCGCAGAAGGCCTTGTCGCCCGCGCCCTTCATCACGATGACGTTGGCCATGTCCGACTTCTCCCACTCGAGCAGGCGCGGCGCGATCTTGCGGATCATGGACCCGTCCAGCGAGTTGAGCTTCTTGGGCCGGTTGAGCTCGATCGTCCGCAGGCCGTACAGGCTGTTGAAGAGGACGTCCTCGGGTTCGTCGCCGGGCAGCTCCTTGAAGAGCTCCATGGCCGCTTTGGTAGACATCTGACGGGGTTGACAATGGGCTCGAGTTAGCAAAATCTAGATGTGCGGGTCACGAGCCCAGAGCTGTTCTCATCTCTTCCGTACCTGAGCGCCCGCAGCACCTTGCTGCGAGAGGATCTTTGCGCGGAGAGGCATGGCAAAGGGAGAGCCTCCAAGACGGGCCGTGCAGCCGCGTGATGCCGCGATGGCTGCTGGGCCGGCGCGACTGAGGAGCGCCTTGCAGAACATCTATATCGTCGGGGGGCCGCCGTGAGAACTGTGGTCAATTGGAGTCGCGCATCCAAAAGGCTCGGGAGAGGTTGGGTGCGGCAGCTCCAAAGGCGTTTCTCGTATCTCGAAAGGGCATCCGTCGACAGACAGCTGTGAGGTCGGCAATGGTTTTCCACTTTCCTCCACCTGGGTGCATTCGTACAGCTTTAGCTCCAAACCCGAGGTTTCGATTTTCTTTCCTCGGGACCCCTGGTCAAATTGGGCGGCCTAAGACGGCTCCTGACGGGGCGTCGCTCTCGGTACTTTAGCGTGCTCTTGGTCACTGTCGCCTTGCTGTAGTTAGTGGTCACATCAAGTGCACTGTGAGTGCTGTGTGCGCTGCTGGAAGTATTTTTGGCCGGAGTAGAATAATGCCGCTCCGCCATAGCGACTCCACCTTTGAATAAGCACCGTCCAATCACACTACATCGCACGAGGTACGTACCTCCACGACCGCCAAACACCAAATCCCAATCAATCCATCGCCTTGGGAGCCATCTCGAAAACTTCCAGCCTTGCTCGACACCACACAGACCCGCGACCGCGACCACATCACACCCACCATGGCGGACGCAAAGATCCAGTGAGTCTATTACGCGTGTATAGCAAATATATGTATCGAGACTGACTGGCGTCTTCAGGGAACTCCTCACCAAGCCTCGCAATGAGCTCACGTACGAAGCTTCCCTCCCCCCCGGCCCGCACGGGATACAGCCGCGACGATACGCAATGCTGACCGACACCATTTAGGGAGTACGAGATTTCGCAACTAGAGGAGCATGAGTTCAGTGCAGGACCTCGTACGTTTCCACAGTCCACCAAGCTTGCCGCCCCGCTGCGCGCGCCACAACCGTTGACTGACCGCATCGCAACGTGTAGTATCTATCCTTCAGACCGCCGTGCGCACCCACAACCAGGTCCTGATCTCTTGCCGGAACAACCGCAAGCTTCTCGCCCGGGTAAAGGCCTTCGATCGTCACTTCAACATGGTCCTCGAGAACGTGAAGGAGATGTGGACAGAAACGCCCAAGCTGGCTGGTGGGAAGAAGGGCCGGCCGATCAACAAGGACAGGTTTATCAGCAAGATGTATGTGTTCCTGCCGAATGAAACCGGTTTTTTTTGGCGTTTCTACTCCACGATGGGCAAGTTTACTGACGGTGGGCTATACAGGTTCCTGAGAGGAGACTCGGTCATCCTGGTGCTGCTGAGCTGAGCGAAAGAATCTACTGTGCTTTGTTTTTCTCTGCGGGTTTTCTGGGCTACGACCATAGTTATGCTCTAGACGTGGTTATATCAGGGGGTATGGTTCGTTCATCATCAGGACTATGGCGTTATAAAACTTCGAGAGTTGTGTATTCACTGGTCATCATCACGGCATAATCCACCAATCTCACGAGAAGAGCATACCTCCTCTTCTCAGCATTATTGGCAATTATCTGCCCCCCTTTTTTGGTGAAATTATTCATTGACAAATCAGCGCTGATTCGATGACTATCCCGCTCGTTTTTCAACCTTTTACTTCTGCACGACAAGTATTACTCATTACAATCACATAGGTCAACCCCTCCGCAGAAATTGCTGACTGCTCAGACAGTCTCCCACCCGTCCTCGACCGGCTTCAGCCCGGTCAGGCCCAGGAAGAAGCTCGCCAGGCCGTACGCCCCCGGGTCGGGCACCTTCTCGAAGCCGGAGCCGCCGACGTAGACGGCGCGGCCCAGGCTGGCGTGCATGCCCTTGGTGCCGTCGGCGCCCCTCTTGGCCGCCTCGGCCGCGCCGCGCACGTCGCCCGACGCGGCCAGGGTCTCGACGAAGGGGTACAGCGCGTCGACGAGGGTGCGGTCGCCGGGGCGGGCGGGCGTGTAGCGCGACAGGGCGTCGCAGCTCTGCCGCAGCGCGGCGGCCCAGGTCTTGGGAGAGGCGTCGCCGCTGCCCTGCGTCCGCAGGGCGTGGACGAGCGAGTTCATGAAGATGGCGTACAGGGCGCCCGAGGTGCCGTCCATGGTGTTCTCGATGACGGGCACGAGGCCGGCCACGTCGACGACGACGTCGCCCGTCAGCTTGGTCTGGGAGAGGTGCTTGAGGATGGCTATGTTTGAGACAAAACAATGTCAGCGCGCTTTTCTTGTCTCTTTTTCAAATGGCAGTGACTGTCACGCTACGAACGTACCCTCGGCGCCTCTCTTGAGGCCGATACCGCAGTCGCCGTCGCCGACAATGGTGTCGTATCGCGTGACCTCGGGCTCGACCGAGATGACGCTCTTGAGCCCGGCCTCGAGCTTCGACCTGAACTCGTCCGGGTCCGTCTTGAGCCCGCTGGGCTTGGCCTGCTCCTCGCCGCCGGCCTTGGCCTCCCTCGTGGCCGCGTTCTTCTCCTCCCAGGTCTGCTTGGCGACGGGCGCCGACCAGCCCGTCGCCTCGGCCGGGTCGTCGAGCAGCTCGACCATGCTCGGCCCGCCGATGTCCGTGTTGACGACGTTGAGCAGGGTGATGCTGAAGCCGAGGCCGTTGAGGCTCGTCATGTAGGTCCCGCTAAGGACGCGCACGGGCTCGATCCTCCAGTCCCGCGCGAGCTGGTCCACGACCTCGGCCGTGATGCCGCCGAGCTCGAGCACGCTCACGCCGCCGAGGTTGTTGACCAGCAGCACGACCTCGTTGGAGTTGACGTTCAGGAAGGCGCGGTCCGCGTCGCCCTGGTCGAGCATCTGCGCCAGCATGCGGCCGACGAGGGCGGGCAGCTCGACCTTTTCCCGGCCGGACCCGGACTCGTTGTGGATGCCCATGCCGATCTCGACCTCGCCCGGCGCGAGGGCGTCCTCGGTGGGGGCGACGGCCCGGCCGGGCACGTGGACGCGCTCGAGGCTGGCGCCGACGCTGACGAGGTTCTGCGCCGCGAGGCGCGCGACGCGCGCGACCTCGTCCAGAGACCGGCCCCGCGCGGCCAGAGCGCCGGCGATCTTGTGCACGAGGACGGTGCCCGCGATGCCCCGGCGGCCGACCTTGCCGGCCTTCTCCCGGCCGACGCCGACGTCGTCGCCGACGACGACCATCTCGACGGGGACGCCGGCGGCGCGGGCCTTCTCGACGGCCATGCCGAAGTTGAGGACGTCGCCCGTGTAGTTCATGACGGTGACGAGCACGCCTCCGCCGCCGCCGCCGCCGCCGTGGTGGTGGTGGTGGTCGACGCGCGCCTGGATGGCGACGCGGACCTGCTCGGCCGAGGGGCTGGCGAAGATGGTGCCCGCGACGGCTGCGTCGAGCATGCCGCGCCCGACCATGGCGGCGAAGGAGGGCTCGTGGCCGGAGCCGCCGCCGGAGAGAATCGAGACCTTCTTGCCGGCGTCGTGGGCGGCGTGGGGCCGGCGGTAGACGACCTTGTTGTCGGCGTCGAGGGCGAGGGCCGGGTTGGTCAGGGTCGCGGCGCGGAGGGCCGAGTTGACCAGGTGGGTCGGGTCGTTGATGAAGTGCTTTGCTGAGGAGGCCATGGTGGTTCTTTGTTTTTTGCCCTGGTCTCCGGGGTATCTATTCAAAGAATTGGGTGTTTGGGATATGGAATTGTCTCACTCGCTGCTGCTGGTGGATTTCAACGGAGGGTTCTTCCTTCCTGTCTCCTCAGTGCAGCGTGGTCGAATCTCGCTCAGTCAGTCAAGAGGCTCGCTCAGGTCACAATCTCACGGCCGCGGGTTTTCACAGCAAGGTTCCGGAGACGCGGAGAAGAAGGACTGTCAACTTTCCGGGTCGCAAGGCACCGGCAACTATGGAATAAGACCGTCCAGCGGTCTGGGGCCTGGGTGGAGGGTTCTTGTGTAATTTAAATCAACGAGAGAAGCGAGCAGCAGCCAGGCCCGGAGGCGTGGTCACACCTCTCTCTCTCTCCGCGCACACTCACTCGCGGGCGAAGCTCGGCGGGGTACAGACAGCTCTGCTCGCTCGCCTGCCCTCAGTCCACGCCCGGCCAAGAAAGAGTGCGGGGCAGTGGAGATGCAGCTTCGCTCCTTGGTCTGGCACTCTCCCACACGCGCATGCACGGCAATGGATGATCCTGCTACTGCTGGGTCGTCTACTTTATTTGGTGATTGGGGTCGGGCGGACCCCCTCCATCGGATCCAACGCTGTTGGACTGGGGCGGCGGTCCTGCGAGGGTCGAGAACCTGCCTGCCTGCACCAAAACGGATCATGCCTCCGCAAGCCGGGGGGGGGGGGGGACACCGAACTACTGAATTGACCCGTGGAGGATTTTCCCACCACCGAGGCATGCCCTTCGCTGCCACGAGACCCGGGATAATTAGTGCGGCCGCCATTTTCACGGCAGAGAGTGGCGCTTAGCATTTCTCCTTCCGGCAGTCGCAGCACTACAGAGTAGAAAGCCGTCTTGTTGGGGGAAATGATTGGCCTTTGCTTGGAGAGAAAGCTGGTACGTAGTGGTAGCAATCTTGGCCAAAAATTACACTCGAGTCCCTCTTTGCAAAACCTCCAAAGCGCTCTCGAGGCAATCGAGAACCCTAGGCTTTCCCCCCAAAGCTCATAGAGACCCTCGCTCTTCCCGCGGAAACCCTGCTTTCCAGAGGGAGAACAATCCAAGAAAGAAAAAGAAGAAAAACGCCGGTATGCGGGGAATATCCAAGGTGTCCTGACCTCCCTCCTGGTGGGGAGTAGAGACACCCCCTTTCCAAAAACACACACACTCACACACACATATGCAAAGAATAAAAAGAGACAACACACACAAGCGCCTGTCTGCCTCCCCCTCCCTCCTGACGACCCCAGAAAAGAGGTGTACGAAAACACCAAAAAAAAAAAAAAAAAAAAAAAAATCACAACATGACAAAGACGCTGCCGCCGATGACGCTAAAGACAATGGCCGTCGTCGCAAACGCGGCGGCGACCTTGTCGCCCGTCGTGATGGGCGCCAGCTCCTCCATCGGCGCCGCGATCTTCTGCCCGGCGTTCTCGTCGCCCTTGGAGGTGCCGCCCGTCGTCGACGTCACGGGCGCGGCCGACTGCTTGCTGACGAGCGAGTACATGATGGCGTCGAGCGCGTTCATCTGCGCGCCCACGCCGACGAGCCCGTCGAACCCGCCGGCCTCGGGCGTCCACTTGAAGCCGCAGGCCGTGCCGGGGGCGCCCTTGAACCCGCCCGCCGCGGTCGACCCCGTGCAGGCGGCCGCGGCGGCCACGGCGTTGCGCCGGATCAGCGGCATCATCTGGTCGAAGGTGTAGGGCGCCATCTGCGTCGTGCCCGCCATCCAGCGCGTCAGGTAGCCCTTGAAGCTCTGCTGGTCGACGTTGCACAGGTTGGCGGCCTCGCACGCGCGCTCGACCAGGATCGTCTTGTCGGCGCCGCCCGTGAAGAAGACGGACCGGGTCTCGTTCCACACGCCGTCGACGCGGGCCCTCCACCGGGGGTCCCCGCCCGTCAGGTTGTACATGACGGCCGCGCCGTGCAGGAAGATGCCCGCGTTGTAGCTCCACTGTATCGTGTCGTGCTTGGTGCAGTTGAGGTCGTTGTCCACGCCGGCGCCGTCAAAGACGCGGAACTCGCCGTCGATGAGCCCGACGCTCGCCTCCCAGTCCCACACCTTCTCGGCCCACTCGGCGTACGTCTGGTTGCCCGTGAAGCGCGCCAGCCGCGCCGCCAGGTTGAAGAAGCACCCGTTGCTGATCGAGTTCTTGTAGTTGAACCCCTGGTTGAAGGGGAAGATCTGCCACCGGAGCCCCCCGTTGCACTTCTCCGTGTCCCACCGGATCATGTACTCGTGCACGACGGCCTGGGCCAGCGCCAGCCACTGCGGCTTGTCCGCCGGCGGGTCCGGGAACTTGTTCTCGGCGGCGCTCATGGCGGCCATGGCCCAGAACCCCTGGTCGTCGTTGCCCTCCGTCCGCGTCTGGTTGCCCGGCATGAAGTCGTTGCTGTCGCCGACCTGGTGCTGCAGCGCCTGCATGATGGTGTCGCTGTACGACGTGTCCCCCGTCAGGAACTGGTAGTCGATCATGGTGCCGAACATGGCTCCTGCCTCCCACCCTGCAGTGTTCCACCGGGGAGGTTAGTCCGCGCCCCTAATATCAAAATGGCATGTGTGTGTGTGTGTGTGTGTGTGTGTGTGTGTGTGGCTGCTGGGGGAGCAACTTACAAAAGTACGGATCCGGTAGGTTTCCCGGTACATCGCCGGTGTTGTTGCCCGTATAAAACTTGAGCAGCCCAAAGGCTACCGTTGCGGCGGCATTCTTGATCGAGTCTGTGACACGCAAAACTTGAACATTAGAACATCCGGACAACGTCTTTGGAATTTCCCACGTGGCAGGAGCCGATCCGTACCTGTGCTGTCTATTGATAATTGCACTGCGCTGGCTGCTTGTGAGAACAGGCAAAGAGTGCCAGCAGTTCGGAGGAATCCCCTCATGATACCACCCCCCGAGAAAGAAACAAGTAAAGAAGAAAAGAACCAAGACGGTCGGCTCGAGAGAGATCGGCGAGGGGACGTCTAGTGCGTCTGGATGCGAGGTTGCTCAAGTTACTCAGTCGACCTCATCTCGTGTAAGTCGGGTCGCTGCCAACGCCGGCAAAGGAACGCAGGCCTTTGCAGTTGTCACAGTAGCCGGTGTCTGGAATTAACTTCAGACGCTCGAACCAGTGCTATAAATCGTGCCAGATGGGGGGGGAATCCGTCAAATACTGTAAAGTGTCGCCGGGACTGTCGAAAGAAACAGATCGTTTTGAAAAAGAAAGGCGTTTGACTCGACCTGGAGTGCAGCGGTTCGAAAAAAAAAAAAAAAAAAAAAAGACACAATTGCGAAGAGATCGAATGAAAGGTAATAAAAATGCCGCCCAGGGCAATGATCTCGACCAGCGCGAGGAGAAGAAAGGAATGAAGAATCGAAATGGAATTTCGATGATGTTTGGAAAGCTCCAAATTACGGATACCCTACAGAAGAGAGAGAAAGGAAACGAAAGAAGGAGAGACAACAAGAGTATGCAATGTGTGGTTGGAGGCATCTCTCAGCCAAGAGGTTTGGAGACTCTGCCCAGTGCCCAGCAAACACCAAGATCCAATGTCCAACATGCCCCTGCGAATGATGGATCCCCGGCCCCGCGTACACGTAACTACTTGTCACTATTGCCCGCCCGGCACTCAAAGAGGGGAGGGCCACATACAACAGCAAAGTCTCGTCCTGACCACCAGAGAGAGGGGGGGGGCAATGGCAATTCTCGTTGCATCATTTCTTGATGCGTCGCTGGACCCTTGGGCGGGTAAAACTCCAGATCTGTGGCGAGGCTGTGCCCTGCGGGAAGTCCAAAGCTGAAACGCTTCGAGTTGGACGTGGTGGGCGCCATCGTCTCAAGAGTGCGGAGGCGACCCTGGTCCGGGCCTCGCCCCCCCTCAGACCGGATTGCCCCGTCCGTTCAGAAACAACAAAAATAACAAGCTGCAAAATGGGAGGGTGTTTGTCGATCCTTTTAAGACGAAAGAGGCCACTTTTACTGCTTCGGACCGGAGTCTGTTCTGTCTGGTGTATCAGCAACAAGACAGGCAGTGAGGGCATCATCTCACAAGACATGTTGGGGACCACGATGCAACCCACAATTCGCGTTCTCGGTAACATCGCAGACTTTGTACAAGACCTAGTTAGTTGGGTCATCACCCCTGTCTCGCCTGTCCCATGTGGCAGTCTCATGTCCCGCAAGTAAGGAAGAGAGAGAGAGGGGGGGGGGGGGGGTGGGGGGCGGGATGGGCAACCTGGACAGTCACCTCATCAACCCTGATGTCGAGATCAGTCCCTTGTACACCGTAAGGTAGTTAGTGACCGACTGATCCTGGCAATTGTACCGGTCTGTGCGAGGCCGGCCAAGCCTTTCCGAGATCTGGTTCGCATCGCCACCAAGGGCCTTTTTGATCCTTTGATGTGCCTGCAAAACAAAGTGTGCCAGCGCATTGCATAAGATCTGATCTAAGCCGATCCCCCAATTTCCCTCTGATCTGGACTCATCTTGTCCCCGTCTTGTCCTGTCCTGTCTTGTCTTGTGTGTAAGCCAGTGCCCAAAGGCAGCAACTCTCCAAGGATGCTTGCTCACATGCTTCTTTCACTTTGGAACCGGCCGCGATCGAGTCCAACTGCTCGAGCAATCTTCAAATCAAGTCTATGGTAAAGGTATCTCAGCCGGGAATTGTATACACACAATCTCTTTTATCTACAACACGCCAAAGAAATCCCATCAATTCCTCACGCCTTGCGCTTCTTAGGCGCCGGCGCATCCTCGTCACCCTCCTCGTTCTCGCTCGCGTCATTGCTCGCGATGTCCATGCCCTCCTCGTCCGACTCAAAGTCGACATCGCTCATCATATCATCCTCCTGAGCTTGAGCTGTAGAGTTGCAGGTCATTAGCCAAACGAGAACCTGGCATCGGCTCAGAGGGAGAAAAACATCCCCGACATTGGGTAAACTTACTAAAGTACTTGAGCGCACTAGGCCACAGGTCCTCCGAGAT